GACACCACACCCGGGTTCAACCTCGCCCCCTAGGTCGGGTTTCTAGCCCTCGGATCGTCCTCTGCATGGCCACTCCCCCGTTTGCCCCCAGCTCCCCTAATGTGCCCAGAGTTCGCCACAGACCCATGGCTGGGGGCTTACCGGCACCAACAGAGCAGGACGACCCCCTCCCCCATTCACACATCCTGGGTTAATATTAGCCTTTTTTGCACCCGTCTCACATTTGCTTGTGCGATGCTCTTGCAAAAAAGGCGAGTGTCAGTCACGGGTCGCAGGAACAAACACCCCGGTAAAGCCACCAGGGTCGCCTGGTAAAGTAAAGCTGCTCCAGGTCAATTAAGACACCTGGGGCCAATTAAGAACTTTCCAGAAGGCAGGGAGAAGGCTAGGTTGATTGGGACACCTAAAGCCAATCAGGGGCTGGCTGAAACTAGTTAAAAGCCTCCCAGTTAGTCAGGTGGGTGCGCATGTCAGGAGCTGTGGGAGGAAGTTGTGCTGTTGGAGAGGCTGAGTAGTACACACCATATCAGGCACAAGGAAGGAGCCCATGAGGGAAGGGTGAAGTGGAGCTTGAGGAAGTGAGGGCTGCTGTGGGGGAAGTAGCCCAGGGAATTCTACATGTCATGTTTCTAAAAGGTCAGCTACCATAGCTGATACTATTAGGGTCCCTGGGCTGGAGCCTGGAGTAGAGGATGGGCCTGGGCTCTCCCCCACACCTTTGCCACCTGATTAATCACTGAGACTGGGAGACGACAGAGACTGTGCAAGGAAGGAAAATTCTCCTCACCTTCCTTGCTGGCTTATGATGAAAATGGTTCAGTAGACTGTGACCCTTGTCTCGAGAGAAAGAAGGGTTACGTGGAGGGTCACAGTGAGCCTCTGAGACTAGCGAAATCCGCCAGGAAATGCAGGACCCATGGAGGCAAGGACAGAGCTTTGTCACAGTCCCCAAAAGGCTCAGGGACTGACAGTCCAACAGGGACCCTCAGAGCGATGGGGGAGGCCAGAGCCACTCACCGATGTTGATGTTGTTCATCACCGTTTCGCACCGCTCCCCTGTAAATCCCGAAAGGCAGAGACACTTGTTCGCAAGGGGCGTCCCTCCATTCTGGCACCTCAGGGGCTCCAGCGTGGTGGCGGGAACTTCAGGGGAGAAAAGAGAGAAATGGGACTGAATGAGGACACACACCTGAAAGGGACCCCTCGCCCGGCACTGAGATGCGGCCACCTCTGGGGTGAGCGTGGGAAATGGTAATGGTTTGCCACAAGTTTCTAGCCAGGAATTAACTTCACATCCCAGTTAGCCACTGATGTGGATGATGTGATTTTTGTGTGTGACAGTAGCCCCTGCATGCCCCAAACCGTAAGGAGGACCCCATCGTGCTGGGCACTGCACCTGCCCCGACTGAGATCAGGGACCCCACGGTGCTGGTCAGTGGCTGAGCCAGGAATAGAGTCTACGGTTCCCAGTCTGCCGCCCCTACCTTCCTCGCGGAACCCTGTTCCCCATAGAAACCCACAACTCACCCGCAGTGGTTGTGGTGCCAGTGGAGTTTGTGGGGTGGCTGCTGGTCCCTGGGATTTTGGTTGGCACAGTCACGGAAGTACTTGTGCTGCTAGACTGCGTCTGAGTCACAAGGCTGGTCACGGTGCCGGGTTTCCTCGTGGGAACCGAAGAACCTGTCGAGACGGAAAGAGGAGGCACCATGGACCTTGTAGAAGACACTTGACTTGTTCCTGGCTCGGACGTCATCACTGTGCGAGAGATGCCAGAGGAGGACCCTGTGGCGGTAGGCGAAGAAACAGTCGTAGCCAATGTTTCCTCGTGGCTGTTGGATTTGGTTGGGCTTGGAACAGAACGGGTTGTCGTTGGCAGTGTCTCATGGTGGGTGGATGCCGGAGGACTTGAGTAGGAAAGTGTTGTTGCCAGGGTGGTCTCGCTGGTGGTGGATGAAGATATGGTTGGATGGGACTCTTTTGTCTTTACGGTAGACTCAGTGGAAGATGTGGTCACAGGCGGCTGAGGAGAGACTGTTGTCAAAGTTGTCTGTCGGCTGCTGAATTCCTCTGTGTTAGGGACAGAAAGAGTTGTTACTCCTCTACTCTCAGTACTTGTGAATTCAGTCGGAGTTGGATGGAGAGGGGCCGACGTCACGGTTGTCTTCTTGCTGGTGAATTCAGGTACGGTTGTATGGGACACAGATGTCATGGTGCTACTCTCGATGGAAGATGTTGGCACAATGGGCTGAGAGGTGGCTGTTGTCAAGCTTGTCTCACTGGTGGAGATTTCACTTCTGGCAGGCGCAGAAAGAGTGGTTGCCAGTGTCGTTTGGTTGTGAGTGAGTCCTGTTGCTGGGACATAGGGAGTTGAGGTTACGGTGGTCTCATTCTTTGGGAATTCAGTCATAAGAGTGGAAGGACTAGTTGCCTTGGTTCTCTCATTGGTGCTGAATTCGGGTAGGGTTGTATGGGACACAGATGCCATTGTCCTACTCTCCGTGGAAGATGTCACGACAGTTGGCTGGGATGTGACTGTTGTCAAGTTTGTCTCACGGGTGGAGCTTTCTGCTGTAGCTGCCACAGAGAGTGTGGAAGACCTTGTGACTTCAGGAACCGTTGTCCCGGAAAGACTTGTTGTGAGTGTTGTTTCATTGGTGGGGACTTCAGACATGGTTGAATAGCGCCCAGTTGTCTTTACAATGCTTGTTGCCAAAGTTGTCTCCTTTCTGGTGAACTCAGATACAGCTGAGTGGGAGGGAAACGTCACTGAAGGGCTCTGAGAGGAAGGGGTGGTCAGAGCTGGTTGGGAGGTGGCCATTGTAGAGTTCGTTTCAAGGGTGGAGATTTCAGGTGTAACAGGTACAGAGAGAGTTGTTGATATCGTGGTCTCAGCCTGGGTAGATTTTGAAGCCGTTTCTACAGGAAACCTAGTTGCCATGGTAGTCTCACGGCCTGTGAATTCTGTTAAAGTCAGATGTGGGGGAGTTGTCATTGGGGGTGCGGCACTGGTAATGAATTCAGGAACTGTTGTGTGTGACACGTTTGTCGTGATGGCACTCTCAGTAGAAGATGTTGAAACAACTGCAGAGGAAGTAGCTCTTGTAGCCGCTGTCTCGCTGGTGGATATCTCAGATGTAGCAGACGCAGAGGGTGTTGATGACAATGTCGTTTCACTGTGGGTCAATTCTGGTGAAGCTGGAGCAGAAACCGTTGTTGCCAGAGTCGTTTCCTTGGCTGTGCTTTCAGAGAGGGTTGTGTGAGAGACAGAAGTCAAGAAGGTGCTCTGGGTGGAAGAGCTGGGCACCGTTGCCGGTGGAGAGGATGTTGCTGAGGTTGTCTCACTGTTACTTGTTTCCATTGTGGGGTGCCCTGAAGAAGGTGTTATCACATTGTGTGTGGATGTCTCTGTCATTGGAAGAGAAGGAGTGCTTGCCATGCTAGTCTCTGTCCTTGGGAATTCAGTACCAGTTGGATGGGGTGGAGCCAATGTCACGGTTGTCCCATTGGTGGTGAATTCAGAGACTGTTGGCTGCGTGATGGTGCTCGCATCAGCCGTGGAACTCAGGTTTGAAATGCTGGGTATGGAGACAGACTCAGAGAGGGTGCTGGACTCAGATGTGAGGGTCAGGCTGGAAACCCTGGGTGTGGAGACTAACTCCGAGACGGTGCTGGACTTGGATGTCAAGGACAGGATTGAAGCACTGGGCATGGAAACGGGCTCAGAGACGGTGCTTGACTCAGCCATGGAGGTCGAGCTGGAAGCACTGGGTGTAGAGATGGACTTGGAGATGGTTCTGGTCTCAGCCGTGGAGGTCAGACTAGAAGCACTGGGAGTGGAGAAGGACTCAGAGACTGTCCTGGCTTCTACAGTGGAAGTCAGGGTGGAAGCTCTGGGCGTGGAGATGGACTCAGGGACAGTGCTGGACTCAGCCGTAGTGGTCGGGATGGAAGCGCTGGGTGAGAAGACGGGCTTGGAGACAGTGCTGGACTTGGCCATGGAGATTGGGCTGGAAACACCTGGCATGGAGACGGACTCGGAGACTGTTGTTGAGTGAGCCATGGAAGTCAGGCTGGAAGCTCTAGGTGTGGACACGGACTCAGAGTTGGTGCTGGTCTCGGCCACAGAGGTTGGGCTGGAAAATCTGGGCGTAGAGATGGACTCAGGGACAGTGCTGCTCTGGTCCGTGGAGGTCGGGCTGGAATCTCTGGGAGAGGAGACAGACTCGGAGCTGGTGCTGATCTTGCTTGTGAAGGTCGGGCTGGAAACTCTGGCTGTGGAGATGGACTTGGAGTTGGTGCTGGTCTCGGCCACAGAGGTTGGGCTGGAAGATATGGGGGTGGAGACGGACTTGGAGACAGTGCTGGACTCGGCCATGGAGGTCAGGCTGGAAGCTCTGGGGGTAGAGATGGACTCGGAGCCGGTGCTGGTCTGAGTCACAGAGGTCGGTCTAGAAGTGCTGGACGGAGAGATGGACTCGGAGGTACTGGTCTCAGCCACAGAGGTCAGGCTCGAAGTTCTGGGAGAGGAGACGGACACAGAGGCAGTGCTCGTCTCGGTCCTAGAGGTCAGGGTGAAAGAGCTTTCCGTGGAGACGGATTTAGAGATGGTGCTGCTCTCTGCCGTGGAGGTCGGGCTGGAAGCTCTGGGCAAAGAGACGGACTCGGAGCCGGTGCTGGTCTGAGTCACAGAGGTCGGTCTAGAAGTGCTGGATGGAGACGTGGACTCGGAGGTGCTGGTCTCGGTCATAGAGGTCGGGGTGGAAGCGCTTTGCGTCGAGATGGACACAGAGGCAGTGCTGGTCTCAGTCCCAGAGGTGAGGATGGAAGCACTATGCGTGGAGATGGATTCGGAGTTGGTGCTGGTCTCGGTCCCAGAGATCGAGGTGGAAGCACTTTGCATGGAGACGAATTCGGAGACAGCGCTGGACTCGGTCCTAGAGGTCGGACTGGAAGCTCTGGACACAGGGCTGGTCTCAGTCCTAGAGGTCGGGCTGGAAGCACTTTGCGTGGAGATAGATTTGGAGATGGTGCCGCTCTCAGCCACAGAGCTTGGGCTGGAAGATCTGGGCATGGAGACGGACTCGGAGAGAGTGATAGTCTCGGCCATGGAGGTCGGGCTGGAAGCTCTGGGCGAGGAGACAGACTCGGAGACACTGCTAGTCTCAGTCCTAGAGGTCAGGGTGGAAGTGCTTTGCATGGAGACGGATTCGGAGACGGTGCTGCTCTCTGCCGTGGAGGTCGGGCTGGAAGCTCTAGGGGAGGAGACGGACTCGGACCTGGTGCTGGACTCAGCCGTTGCGCTCGGGCGGGAAGCTGCATGGGAGGAGAAGGACTCAGAGACGCTGCTGCTCTCGGTCGTGGATGTCGGACTGGAAGCTCTGGGTGAGGAGATGGACTCGGAGCCGGTACTGGTCTGAATCACAGAGGTCGCTCTAGAAGTGCTGGAAGGAGAGATGGACTCAGAGGTGCTGGTCTCAGCCACAGAGATCGGGCTGGAAGCGCTTTGCGTGGAGACGGACTCGGAGCCCGTGCTAGTCTCGGCTGTGGAAGTCAGGCTGGAAGCACTGGGCGTAGAGACCGACTCGAAGATGGTGGTGGTCTGAGTCACAGAGGTTGGGCTGGAAGAGCTGAACAGAGAGATGGACTCGAACGTAGTGGTAGGAATGAAAGCTCTGGGCATAGAGACGGTCTCGGAGCCGGTGCTGGTCTCTGCTGTGGAGGTCGGACTGGTAGCTATGGACACAGGGCTGGTCTCAGTCCTAGAACTTGGGCTGGAAGCGCTTTGCATGGAGATGGATTCGGAGACGGTGCTGCTCTCGGCCACAGAGGTCAGGCTGGAAGCACTGGGCGTAGATACGGACTCGGACACAGTGCTGGTCTCGGCCATGGAGGTCGGGATGGAAGCTCTAGGGGAGGAGACGGACTCGGACCTGGTGCTGGACACAGCCGTAGGGCTCGGGCTGGAAGCTGCATGGGAGGAGAAGGACTCGGAGATGCTGCTGCTCTTGGTCGTGGATGTCAGACTGGAAGCTCTGGGTGAGGAGATGGACTTGGAGACGGTGCTGGTCTGAGTCACAGAGGTCGCTCTAGAAGTGCTGGAAGGAGAGATGGACTCAGAGGTGCTGGTCTCAGCCACAGAGATCGGGCTGGAAGCGCTTTGCGTGGAGACGGACTCGGAGCCCGTGCTAGTCTCAGCTGTGGAAGTCAGGCTGGAAGCACTGGGCGTAGAGACCGACTCGAAGATGGTGGTGGTCTGAGTCACAGAGGTTGGGCTGGAAGAGCTGAACAGAGAGATGGACTCGAACGTAGTGGTAGGAATGAAAGCTCTGGGCATAGAGACGGTCTCGGAGCCGGTGCTGGTCTCTGCTGTGGAGGTCGGACTGGTAGCTATGGACACAGGGCTGGTCTCAGTCCTAGAACTTGGGCTGGAAGCGCTTTGCATGGAGATGGATTCGGAGACGGTGCTGCTCTCGGCCACAGAGGTCAGGCTGGAAGCACTGGGCGTAGATACGGACTCGGACACAGTGCTGGTCTCGGCCATGGAGGTCGGGATGGAAGCTCTAGGGGAGGAGACGGACTCGGACCTGGTGCTGGACACAGCCGTTGCGCTCGGGCTGGAAGCTGCATGGGAGGAGAAGGACTCGGAGATGCTGCTGCTCTCGGTCGTGGATGTCGGACTGGAAGCTCTGGGTGAGGAGATGGACTCAGAGCCGGTGCTGGTCTGAGTCACAGAGGTCGGTCTAGAAGTGCTGGATGGAGAGGTGGACTCGGAGGTGCTAGTCTTGGCCATGGAGGTCATGCTGGAAGCTCTGGGTGAGGAGACAGACTCGAAGACACTGCTAGTCTCAGTCCTAGAGGTCAGGGTGGAAGTGCTTTGCATGGAAACGGATTCGGAGACGGTGCTGCTCTCTGCCGTGGAGGTCAGGCTGGAAGCTCTAGGTGAGGAGATAGACTTGGACACAGTGCTGGTCTCGGCCACATAGGTCGGGCTGAAAGCACTTTGCGTGGAGACAGATTCGGAGATGGTGCTGGACTCGGAGATAGGGGACAGGCTGGAAGCACTGGGCGTAGATATGGACTCAGAGACAGTGCTGGTCTCGGCCATGGAGGTCGGGAGGGAAGCTCTAGGGGAGGAGACGGACTCGGACCTGGTGCTGGACTCAGCCGCAGCGCTCGGGCTGGAAGCTGCATGGGAAGAGAAGGACTCAGACATGCTGCTGCTCTCGGTTGTGGATGTTGGACTGGAAGCTCTGGGTGAGGAGATGGACTCAGAGATGGTGCTGGTCTGAGTCACAGAGGTCGGTCTAGAAGTGCTGGATGGAGAGGTGGACTCGGAGGTGCTGGTCTTGGCCATAGAGCTCGGGCTGGAAGCTCTAGGTGAGGAGATGGACACAGAGACAGTGCTGGTCTCGGCCACAGAGGTCGGGCTGAAAGCACTTTGCGTTGAGATGGATTCAGAGATGGTGCTGGTCTTCGTCACAGAGGTCGGGCTGAAAGAGCTGGACAGAGAGATGGACTCATACGGGGTGGTTGGGATGGAAGCTCTGGGCATAGAGACGGTCTCGGAGCCGGTGCTGGTCTCTGCTGTGGAGGTCGGACTGGAAGCTATGGACACAGGGCTGGTCTCAGTCCTAGAGGTCGGGCTGGAAGCGCTTTGCGTGGAGATGGATTCGGAGACGGTGCTGCTCTCGGCCACAGAGCTTGGGCTGGAAGCACTGGGCGTAGATACGGACTCAGAGAAAGTGCTGGTCTCGGCCATGGAGGTCGGGATGGAAGCTCTAGGGGAGGAGACGGACTCGGACCTGGTGCTGGACACAGCCGTAGGGCTCGGGCTGGAAGCTGCATGGGAGGAGAAGGACTCGGAGATGCTGCTGCTCTTGGTCGTGGATGTCAGACTGGAAGCTCTGGGTGAGGAGATGGACTTGGAGACGGTGCTGGTCTCAGCCACAGAGGTCGGGCTGGAAGGGCTTTGTATGGAGATGGACTCGGACCTGGTGCTCGTCTCAGCCATAGAGGTCGGGGTGAAAGATCTGGGCCTGGAGACGAACTCGGAGACAGTGCTGGTCTCAGCCATGGAGGTCGGGCTGGAAGCTCTAGGGGAGGAGACAGACTCGGACCTGGTGCTGGTCTCGGCCATAGAGCTCAGGCTAGAAGATCTGGGCATGGAGACGGACTTGGAGACAGTGCTGGTCTGAGTCACAGAGGTCGGTCTAGAAGTGCTGGATGGAGAGGTGGACTCGGAGGTGCTGGTCTCGGCCATAGAGCTCGGGCTGGAAGCTCTGGGCAAGGAGATGGACACAGAGGCAGTGCTCGTCTTGGTCCTAGAGGTCGGGGTGGAAGCGCTTTGCGTTGAGATGGATTCAGAGATGGTGCTGGTCTGAGTCACAGAGGTCGGGTTGGAAGAGCTGAACAGAGAGATGGACTCATACGGGGTGGTTGGGATGGAAGCTCTGGGCATAGAGACGGTCTCGGAGCCGGTGCTGGTCTCTGCTGTGGAGGTCGGACTGGAAGCTATGGACACAGGGCTGGTCTCAGTCCTAGAGGTCGGGCTGGAAGCGCTTTGCGTGGAGATGGATTCGGAGACGGTGCTGCTCTCGGCCACAGAGCTTGGGCTGGAAGATCTGGGCATGGAGACGGACTCGGAGACAGTGCTGGTCTTGGCCACAGAGGACGGGCTGAAAGGGCTTTGTATGGAGATGGACTCAGACCTGGTGCTCGTCTCAGCCATAGAGGTCGGGGTGACAGATCTGGGCATGGAGACGAACTCGGAGACAGTGCTGGTCTCGGCCACAGAGGTTGGGCGGAAAGCGCTTTGCGTGGAGACAGATTCGGAGATGGTGCTGGTCTCGGCCATGGAGGTCGGGCTGGAAGCTCTGGGTGAGGAGATGGACTCGGAGCCGGTGCTGGTCTGAGTCACAGAGGTCGCTCTAGAAGTGCTGGAAGGAGAGATGGACTCAGAGGTGATGGTCTCAGCCACAGAGGTCGGGCTGGAAGCGCTTTGTATGGAGACGGCCTCGGAGACAGCGCTGGTCTCGGCCATGGAGGTCAGGATGGAAGCTCTAGGGGAGGAGACGGACTCGGACCTGGTGCTGGACACAGCCGTTGCGCTCGGGCTGGAAGCTGCATGGGAGGAGAAGGACTCGGAGATGCTGCTGCTCTCGGTCGTGGATGTCGGACTGGAAGCTCTGGGTGAGGAGATGGACTCAGAGCCGGTGCTGGTCTGAGTCACAGAGGTCGCTCTAGAAGTGCTGGATGGAGAGGTGGACTCGGAGGTGCTAGTCTTGGCCATGGAGGTCATGCTGGAAGCTCTGGGTGAGGAGACAGACTCGAAGACACTGCTAGTCTCAGTCCTAGAGGTCAGGGTGGAAGTGCTTTGCATGGAAACGGATTCGGAGACGGTGCTGCTCTCTGCCGTGGAGGTCAGGCTGGAAGCTCTAGGTGAGGAGATGGACTTGGACACAGTGCTGGTCTCGGCCACAGAGGTCGGGCTGAAAGCACTTTGCGTGGAGACAGATTCGGAGATGGTGCTGGACTCGGAGATAGGGGACAGGCTGGAAGCACTGGGCGTAGATACGGACTCAGAGACAGTGCTGGTCTCGGCCATGGAGGTCGGGAGGGAAGCTCTAGGGGAGGAGACGGACTCGGACCTGGTGCTGGACACAGCCGTAGGGCTCGGGCTGGAAGCTGCATGGGAGGAGAAGGACTCGGAGATGCTGCTGCTTTCGGTCGTGGATGTCAGACTGGAAGCTCTGGGTGAGGAGATGGACTTGGAGACGGTGCTGGTCTGAGTCACAGAGGTCGGTCTAGAAGTGCTGGAAGGAGAGATGGACTCAGAGGTGCTGGTCTCAGCCACAGAGGTCGGGTTGGAAGGGCTTTGTATGGAGATGGACTCGGACCTGGTGCTCGTCTCAGCCATAGAGGTCGGGGTGAAAGATCTGGCCATGGAGACAAACTCGGAGACAGTGCTGGTCTCAGCCATGGAGGTCGGGCTGGAAGCTCTAGGGGAGGAGACAGACTCGGAGACACTGCTAGTCTCAGTCCTAGAGGTTAGGGTGGAAGTGCTTTGCATGGAGATGGATTCGGAGATGGTGCTGGACTCGGCCATAGAGGTCAGGCTGGAAGCACTGGGCGTAGATACGGACTCAGAGACAGAGCTGGTCTCAGCCATGGACGTCGGGCTGGAAGCTCTAGGGGAGGAGACAGACTCGGACCTGGTGCTGGTCTCGGTCACAGAGCTCAGGCTAGAAGATCTGGGCATGGAGACGGACTTGGAGACAGTGCTGGTCTGAGTCACAGAGGTCGGTCTAGAAGCGCTGGATGGAGAGGTGGACTCGGAGGGGCTGGTCTCGGCCATAGAGCTCGGGCTGGAAGCTCTGGGCGAGGAGATGGACACAGAGACAGTGCTAGTCTCAGTCCTAGAGGTCAGGGTGGAAGCGCTTTGCGTGGAGATGGATTCGGAGATGGTGCTGCTCTCGGCCACAGAGCTTGGGCTGGAAGATCTGGGCATGGAGACGGACTCGGACACAGTGCTGGTCTTGGTCACAGAGCTCGGGCTGAAAGCGCTTTGCATTGAGACAGATTCGGAGATGGTGCTGGACTCGGTCATAGAGGTCAGGCTGGAAGCACTGGGCGTAGGTACGGACTCGGACACAGTGCTGGTCTCGGCCATGGAGGTCGGGATGGAAGCTCTAGGGGAGGAGACGGACTCGGACCTGGTGCTGGACTCAGCCGTAGAGCTCGGGCTGGAAGCTTCGTGGGAGGAGAAGGACTCGGAGATGCTGCTGCTCTCGGTCGTGGATGTCAGACTGGAAGCTCTGGCTGAGGAGATGGACTCAGAGATGGTGCTGGTCTGAGTCACAGAGGTCGGTCTAGAAGTGCTGGATGGAGAGGTGGACTCGGAGGTGCTGGTCTCGGCCATAGAGCTCGGGCTGGAAGCTCTGGGCGAGGAGATGGACACAGAGGCAGTGCTCGTCTCGGTCGTAGAGGTCGGGGTGGAAGCGCTTTGCGTTGAGATGGATTCAGAGACGGTGCTGGTCTGAGTCACAGAGGTCGGGCTGAAAGAGCTGGACAGAGAGATGGACTCATACGGGGTGGTTGGGATGGAAGCTCTGGGCATAGAGGCGGTCTCGGAGCCGGTGCTGGTCTCTGCTGTGGAGGTCGGACTGGAAGCTATGGACACAGCGCTGGTCTCAGTCCTAGAGGTCGGGCTGGAAGCGCTTTGAGTGGAGATGGATTCGGAGATGGTGCTGCTCTCGGCCACAGAGCTTGGGCTGGAAGATCTGGGCAGGGAGACGGAATCGGAGAGAGTGATAGTCTCGGCCATGGAGGTTGGGCTGGAAGCTCTGGGCGAGGAGACAGACTCGGAGACAGTGCTGGTCTCAGTCCCAGAGGTCAGGATGGAAGTGCTTTGCGTGGAGACGGATTCGGAGACGGTGCTGCTCTCTGCCGTGGAGGTCAGGCTGGAAGCTCTAGGGGAGGAGACGGACTCGGACACAGTGCTGGTCTCGGCCACAGAGGTCGGGCTGAAAGCACTTTGCGTGGAGACAGATTCGGAGATGGTGCTGGACTCGGTCATAGAGGTCAGGCTGGAAGCACTGGGCATAGATACGGACTCAGAGACAGCGCTGGTCTCGGCCATGGAGGTCGGGATGGAAGCTGTAGGGGAGGAGACGGACTCGGACCTGGTGCTGGACTCAGCCGTAGAGCTCGGGCTGGAAGCTGCATGGGAGGAGAAGGACTCGGAGATGCTGCTGCTCTCGGTCGTGGATGTCGGACTGGAAGCTCTGGGTGAGGAGATGGACTCAGAGCCGGTGCTGGTCTGAGTCACAGAGGTCGGTCTAGAAGTGCTGGATGGAGAGGTGGACTCGGAGGTGCTAGTCTTGGCCATGGAGGTCATGCTGGAAGCTCTGGGTGAGGAGACAGACTCGAAGACACTGCTAGTCTCAGTCCTAGAGGTCAGGGTGGAAGTGCTTTGCATGGAAACGGATTCGGAGACGGTGCTGCTCTCTGCCGTGGAGGTCAGGCTGGAAGCTCTAGGTGAGGAGATGGACTTGGACACAGTGCTGGTCTCGGCCACAGAAGTCGGGCTGAAAGCACTTTGCGTGGAGACAGATTCGGAGATGGTGCTGGACTCGGAGATAGGGGACAGGCTGGAAGCACTGGGCGTAGATACGGACTCAGAGACAGTGCTGGTCTCGGCCATGGAGGTCGGGAGGGAAGCTCTAGGGGAGGAGACGGACTCGGACCTGGTGCTGGACTCAGCCGTAGAGCTCGGGCTGGAAGCTTCGTGGGAGGAGAAGGACTCGGAGATGCTGCTGCTCTCGGTCGTGGATGTCAGACTGGAAGCTCTGGCTGAGGAGATGGACTCAGAGATGGTGCTGGTCTGAGTCACAGAGGTCGGTCTAGAAGTGCTGGATGGCGAAATGGACTCGGAGGTGCTGGTCTCGGCCATAGAGCTCGGGCTGGAAGCTCTGGGCAAGGAGATGGACACAGAGACAGTGCTCGTCTCGGTCCTAGAGGTCGGGGTGGAAGCGCTTTGCGTTGAGATGGATTCAGAGACGGTGCTGGTCTGAGTCACAGAGGTCGGGCTGAAAGAGCTGGACAGAGAGATGGACTCATACGGGGTGGTTGGGATGGAAGCTCTGGGCATAGAGGCGGTCTCTGAGCTGGTGCTGGTCTCTGCTGTGGAGGTCGGACTGGAAGCTATGGACACAGCGCTGGTCTCAGTCCTAGAGGTTGGGCTGGAAGCGCTTTGAGTGGAGATGGATTGGGAGATGGTGCTGCTCTCGGCCACAGAGCTTGGGCTGGAAGATCTGGGCAGGGAGACGAAATCGGAGAGAGTGATAGTCTCGGCCATGGAGGTTGGGCTGGAAGCTCTGGGCGAGGAGACAGACTCGGAGACAGGGCTGGTCTCAGTCCTAGAGGTCAGGGTGGAAGTGCTTTGCGTGGAGACGGATTCAGAGACGGTGCTGCTCTCCACCGTGGAGGTCAGGCTGGAAGCTCTAGGGGAGGAGACGGACTCGGACACAGTGCTGGCCTCGGCCACAGAGGTCGGGCTGAAAGCACTTTGCGTGGAGACAGATTCGGAGATGGTGCTGGACTCGGTCATAGAGGTCAGGCTGGAAGCACTGGGCATAGATACGGACTCAGAGACAGCGCTGGTCTCGGCCATGGAGGTCGGGATGGAAGCTGTAGGGGAGGAGACGGACTCGGACCTGGTGCTGGACTCAGCCGTAGAGCTCGGGCTGGAAGCTGCATGGGAGGAGAAGGACTCGGAGATGCTGCTGCTCTCGGTCGTGGATGTCGGACTGGAAGCTCTGGGTGAGGAGATGGACTCAGAGCCGGTGCTGGTCTGAGTCACAGAGGTCGGTCTAGAAGTGCTGGATGGAGAGGTGGACTCGGAGGTGCTAGTCTTGGCCATGGAGGTCATGCTGGAAGCTCTGGGTGAGGAGACAGACTCGAAGACACTGCTAGTCTCAGTCCTAGAGGTCAGGGTGGAAGTGCTTTGCATGGAAACGGATTCGGAGACGGTGCTGCTCTCTGCCGTGGAGGTCAGGCTGGAAGCTCTAGGTGAGGAGATGGACTTGGACACAGTGCTGGTCTCGGCCACAGAGGTCGGGCTGAAAGCACTTTGCGTGGAGACAGACTCGGAGATGGTGCTGGACTCGGAGATAGGGGACAGGCTGGAAGCACTGGGCGTAGATACGGACTCAGAGACAGTGCTGGTCTCGGCCATGGAGGTCGGGAGGGAAGCTCTAGGGGAGGAGACGGACTCGGACCTGGTGCTGGACTCAGCCGCAGCGCTCGGGCTGGAAGCTGCATGGGAGGAGAAGGACTCAGAGATGCTGCTGCTCTCGGTTGTGGATGTCGGACTGGAAGCTCTGGGTGAGGAGAAGGACTCAGAGATGGTGCTGGTCTGAGTCACAGAGGTCGGTCTAGAAGTGCTGGATGGAGAGGTGGACTCGGAGGTGCTGGTCTTGGCCATAGAGCTCAGGCTGGAAGCTCTGGGTGAGGAGATGGAGACAGAGGCAGTGCTCGTCTCGGTCCTAGAGGTCGGGGTGGAAGCGCTTCGCGTTGAGATGGATTCAGAGATGGTGCTGGTCTTAGTCACAGAGGTCGGGCTGAAAGAGCTGGACAGAGAGATGGACTCATACGGGGTGGTTGGGATGGAAGCTCTGGGCATAGAGACGGTCTCGGAGCCGGTGCTGGTCTCTGCTGTGGAGGTCGGACTGGAAGCTATGGACACAGGGCTGGTCTCAGTCCTAGAGGTCGGGCTGGAAGCGCTTTGCGTGGAGATGGATTCGGAGACGGTGCTGCTCTCGGCCACAGAGCTTGGGCTGGAAGCACTGGGCGTAGATATGGACTCAGAGACAGTGCTGGTCTCGGCCATGGAGGTCGGGAGGGAAGCTCTAGGGGAGGAGACGGACTCGGACCTGGTGCTGGACACAGCCGTAGGGCTCGGGCTGGAAGCTGCATGGGAGGAGAAGGACTCGGAGATGCTGCTGCTCTCGGTCGTGGATGTCAGACTGGAAGCTCTGGGTGAGGAGATGGACTTGGAGACGGTGCTGGTCTCAGCCACAGAGGTCGGGCTGGAAGGGCTTTGTATGGAGATGGACTCGGACCTGGTGCTCGTCTCAGCCATAGAGGTCGGGGTGAAAGATCTGGGCCTGGAGACGAACTCGGAGACAGTGCTGGTCTCAGCCATGGAGGTCGGGCTGGAAGCTCTAGGGGAGGAGACAGACTCGGACCAGGTGCTGGTCTCCGCCATAGAGCTCAGGCTAGAAGATCTGGGCATGGAGACGGACTTGGAGACAGTGCTGGTCTGAGTCACAGAGGTCGGTCTAGAAGTGCTGGATGGAGAGGTGGACTCGGAGGTGCTGGTCTCGGCCATAGAGCTCGGGCTGGAAGCTCTGGGCGAGGAGATGGACACAGAGGCAGTGCTCGTCTCGGTCCTAGAGGTCGGGGTGGAAGCGCTTTGCGTGGAGATGGATTCGGAGACGGTGCTGCTCTCGGCCACAGAGCTTGGGCTGGAAGTTCTGGGCATGGAGACGGACTCGGAGACAGTGCTGGTCTTGGCCACAGAGGACGGGCTGAAAGGGCTTTGTATGGAGATGGACTCAGACCTGGTGCTCGTCTCAGCCATAGAGGTCGGGGTGACAGATCTGGGCATGGAGACGAACTCGGAGACAGTGCTGGTCTCGGCCACAGAGGTTGGGCGGAAAGCGCTTTGCGTGGAGACAGATTCGGAGATGGTGCTGGACTCGGCCATAGAGCTCAGGCTGGAAGCTCTGGGTGAGGAGATAGACACAGAGGCAGTGCTGGTCTCGGTCCCAGAGATCGAGGTGGAAGCACTTTGCGTGGAGATGAATTTGGAGACAGTGATGGACTCGGTCCTAGAGGTCGGGGTGGAAGCTCTGGGCATAGAGACAGACTCCGAGACAGTGCTGATCTCGGCTCTGGAGGTCGGGCTGGAAGCATTGGGCGTAGAGACGGTCTCGGAGCCGGTGCTGGTCTCTGCTGTGGAGGTCGGACTGGTAGCTATGGACACAGGGCTGGTCTCAGTCCTAGAGGTTGGGCTGGAAGCGCTTTGCGTGTAGATGGATTCGGAGACGGTGCTGCTCTCCACCGTGGAGGTCAGGCTGGAAGCTCTAGGGGAGGAGACGGACTCGGAGACAGTGCTGGTCTCGGCCATGGAGGTCGGGCTGAAAGCACTTTGCGTGGAGACAGACTCGGAGATGGTGCTGGACTCGGTCATAGAGCTCAGGCTGGAAGCACTGGGCATAGATATGGACTCAGAGACAGTGCTGGTCTCTGCCATGGAGGTCGGGCTGGAAGCTATAGGGGAGGAGACGGACTCGGACCTGGTGCTGGACACAGCCGTAGGGCTCAGGCTGGAAGCTGCATGGGAGGAGAAGGACTCGGAGATGCTGCTGCTCTCAGTCGTGGATGTCAGACTGGAAGCTCTGAGTGAGGAGATGGACTTGGAGACGGTGCTGGTCTCAGCCATAAAGGTCAGGCTGGAAGCACTGGGCGTAGATACGGACTCAGAGACAGTGCTGGTCTCGGCCATGGACGTCGGGCTGGAAGCTCTAGGGGAGGAGACAGACTCGGACCTGGTGCTGGTCTCGGCCATAGAGCTCAGGCTAGAAGATCTGGGCATGGAGACGGAGTTGGAGACAGTGCTGGTCTGAGTCACAGAATTCGGTCTAGAAGTGCTGGATGGAGAGGTGGACTCGGAGGTCCTGGTCTCGGCCATAGAGCTCGGGCTGGAAGCTCTGGGCGAGGAGATGGACACAGAGGCAGTGCTCGTCTCGGTCCTAGAGGTCGGGGTGGAAGCGCTTTGCGTTGAGATGGATTCAGAGAGGGTGCTGGTCTCAGCCACAGAGATCGGGCTGAAAGAGCTGGAGAGAGAGATGGACTCATACGGGGTGGTTGGGATGGAAGCTCTGGGCATAGAGACGGTCTCAGAGCCGGTGCTGGTCTCTACCGTGGAAGTCGGACTGGAAGCTATGGACACAGGGCTGGTCTCAGTCCTAGAGGTCGGGCTGGAAGCGCTTTGCGTGGAGATGGATTCAGAGACGGTGCTCCTCTTGGCCACAGAGCTTGGGCTGGAAGATCTGGGCAGGGAGACAGACTCGGAGACAGGGCTTATCTCGGTCCTAGAGATCGGGGTGGAAGCGCTTTGCGTCGAGATGGATTCATAGACAGTGCTAGTCTTGGCCATGGAGGTCGGGCTGGAAGCTCTGGGCGAGGAGACAGACTCGGAGACACTGCTAGTCTCAGTCCTAGAGGTTGGGCTGGAAGCACTTTGGGTGGAGATGGATTCGGAGACGGTGCTGCTCTCCACCGTGGAGGTCGGACTGGAAGCTCTGGACACAGGGCTGGTCTCAGTCCTAGAGGTTAGGCTGGAAGCACTTTGCGTGGAGATGGATTCGGAGACGGTGCTGCTCTCCGCCGTGGAGGTCGGGAGGGAAGCTCTAGGGGAGGAGACGGACTCGGACCTGGTGCTGGACTCAGCCGTAGCGCTCGGGCGGGAAGCTGCATGGGAAGAGAAGGACTCAGAGATGCTGCTGCTCTCGGTTGTGGATGTCGGACTGGAAGCTCTGGGTGAGGAGATGGACTCAGAGATGGTGCTGGTCTGAGTCACAGAGGTCGGTCTAGAAGTGCTGGATGGAGAGGTGGACTCGGAGGTGCTGGTCTCGGCCATAGAGCTCGGGCTGGAAGCTCTGGGCGAGGAGATGGACACAGAGGCAGTGCTCGTCTCGGTCCTAGAGGTCGGGGTGGAAGCGCTTTGCGTTGAGATGGATTCAGAGACGGTGCTGGTCTGAGTCACAGAGGTCGGGCTGAAAGAGCTGGACAGAGAGATGGACTCATACGGGGTGGTTGGGATGGAAGCTCTGGGCATAGAGACGGTCTCGGAGCCGGTGCTGGTCTCTGCTGTGGAGGTCGGACTGGAAGCTATGGACACAGCGCTGGTCTCAGTCCTAGAGGTTGGGCTGGAAGCGCTTTGAGTGGAGATGGATTGGGAGATGGTGCTGCTCTCGGCCACAGAGCTTGGGCTGGAAGATCTGGGCAGGGAGACGGAATCGGAGAGAGTGATAGTCTCGGCCATGGAGGTTGGGCTGGAAGCTCTGGGCGAGGAGACAGACTCGGAGACAGTGCTGGTCTCAGTCCTAGAGGTCAGGATGGAAGTGCTTTGCGTGGAGACGGATTCGGAGACGGTGCTGCTCTCTGCCGTGGAGGTCAGGCTGGAAGCTCTAGGGGAGGAGACGGACTCGGACACAGTGCTGGTCTCGGCCACAGAGGTCGGGCTGAAAGTACTTTGCGTGGAGACAGATTCGGAGATGGTGCTGGACTCGGTCATAGAGGTCAGGCTGGAAGCTCTGGGGGTAGAGACGGACTCGGAGCCGGTGCTGGTCTGAATCACAGCGGTCGCTCTAGAAGTGCTGGAAGGAGAGATGGACTCAGAGGTGCTGGTCTCAGCCACAGAGATCGGGCTGAAAGAGCTGGAGAGAGAGATGGACTCATACGGGGTGGTTGGGATGGAAGCTCTGGGCATAGAGACGGTCTCGGAGCCGGTGCTGGTCTCTGCTGTGGAGGTCGGACTGGAAGCTATGGACACAGGGCTGGTCTCAGTCCTAGAGGTCGGGCTGGAAGCGCTTTGCATGGAGATGGATTTGGAGATGGTGCTCCTCTTGGCCACAGAGCTTGGGCTGGAAGATCTGGGCAGGGAGACGGACTCGGAGACAGGGCTTATCTCGGTCCTAGAGATCGGGGTGGAAGCGCTTTGCGTCGAGATGGATTCGTAGACAGTGCTAGTCTCGGCCATGGAGGTCGGGCTGGAAGCTCTGGGCGAGGAGACAGACTCGGAGACACTGCTAGTCTCAGTCCTAGAGGTTGGGCTGGAAGCACTTTGCGTGGAGATGGATTCGGAGACGGTGCTGCTCTCCACCGTGGAGGTCGGACTGGAAGCTCTGGGTGAGGAGATGGACTTGGAGACTGTGCTGGTCTGAGTCACAGAGGTCGGTCTAGAAGTGCTGGAAGGAGAGATGGACTCAGAGGTGCTGGTCTCAGCCACAGAGGTCGGGTTGGAAGGGCTTTGTATGGAGATGGACTCGGATCTGGTGCTCGTCTCAGCCATAGAGGTCGGGGTGAAAGATCTGGCCATGGAGACGAACTCGGAGACAGTGCTGGTCTCAGCCATGGAGGTCGGGCTGGAAGCTCTAGGGGAGGAGACAGACTCGGAGACACTGCTAGTCTCAGGCCTAGAGGTCAGGGTGGAAGTGCTTTGCATGGAGACGGATTCGGAGATGGTGCTGGACTCGGCCATAGAGGTCAGGCTGGAAGCACTGGGCATAGATACGGACTCAGAGACAGTGCTGGTCTCAGCCATGGACGTCGGGCTGGAAGCTCTAGGGGAGGAGACAGACTCGGACCTAGTGCTGGTCTCGGCCATAGAGCTCAGGCTAGAAGATCTGGGCATGGAGACGGACTTGGAGACAGTGCTGGTCTGAGTCACAGAGGTCGGTCTAGAAGTGCTGGATGGAGAGGTGGACTCGGAGGTGCTGGTCTCGGCCATAGAGCTCGGGCTGGAAGCTCTGGGCGAGGAGATGGACACAGAGGCAGTGCTGGTCTCGGTCCCAGAGATCGAGGTGGAAGCACTTTGCGTGGAGATGAATTTGGAGACAGTGATGGACTCGGTCCTAGAGGTCGGGGTGGAAGCTCTGGGCATAGAGACAGACTCGGAGACAGTGCTGATCTTGGCTGTGGAGGTCGGGCTGGAAGCACTGGGCGAGGAGATGGACTCGGACACGGGGCTTATCTCGGTCCTAGAGATCGGGGTGGAAGCGCTTTGCGTCGAGATGGATTCGTAGACAGTGCTCGTCTCGGCCATGGAGGTCGGGCTGGAAGCTCTGGGCGAGGAGACAGACTCGGAGACACTGCTTGTCTCAGTCCTAGAGGTCAGGGTGGAAGTGCTTTGCGTGGAGACGGATTCGGAGACGGTGCTGCTCTCCTCCGTGGAGGTCAGGCTGGAAGCTCTAGGGGAGGAGACGGACTCGGACACAGTGCTGGTCTCGGCCACAGAGGTCGGGCTGAAAGCACTTTGCGTGGAGACAGATTCGGAGATGGTGCTGGACTCAGTCATAGAGGTCAGGCTGGAAGCACTGGGCATAGATAGGGACTCAGAGACAGCGCTGGTCTCGGCCATGGAGGTCGGGATGGAAGCTCTAGGGGAGGAGACGGACTCAGAGATGCTGCTGGTCTGAGTCACAGAGGTTGGTCTAGAAGTGCTGGACGGAGAGACGGACTCGGACTCAGTGCTGTTCTCGGTCATAGAGCTCGTACTGGAAGCTCTGGGCGAAGAGATGGACTCGGACCTGCTGCTGGTCTCAGCCGTGGAGGTTGGGTTTGAAGTGCTTGGAGTGGTGATGGCCTCAGATATTTCTGTTCTGTTGTGTGTTGTGATCCATTTACTAGTTGTTGTCTCCTTGGTTCCTGAGGTTGTTGCTGTGCCTGTTACAAGTACATTCTGTGTGATGTTTGCATCTCCTCTGTTAGCTTTTGAAGCTGGTTTTTACAACAGGACCTTTGTTTTTTATGTACCCCAAGGGCCATTCCTTTGGGAGCTGGGCACCAAATTTTGTTGGTTCCTTTGGAAATCCCACCTTGAGACCCCTCCTGCCCCCCCTCCCAATTTCCCTCTCTCATTTGCACTTTCCGCACCTCTTTCCAGGTGCCCCGTTGCTTGCCTGGGTCCCTGAGCCCACACCGATCACCTTCCACTTCGCAAAGGCAAATACAGGTGCTTCTGATAACCGAGGGGTTAATCCCCAGCTCTGGTAGGACTATGTGTCCAATGACAATTATGGACCGTTATGCAAACAGCTTCCTTTCCCCGGCATGAGCCCCTCCCGCTCTAACCCACCAGCCCCCATTCCCCTCCCAGAGCCGAGGAGAGAACCCAGGAGTCCAGGCTCCCAGTCCCACTGCTCTAACACACCAGCCCCCACTTCCCTCCCAGAGCTGGGGAGAGAACCCAGGAGTCCTGGCTCCCAGCCCCCCTGCTCTAACCCACTAGCCCCCACTCCCCTCCCAGAGTGTGACGAAGCAGGACTGTTCTTAATGTTTCCTCTGAATAGTGTGGGGGTGCCTCAGTTTCCCCTAGGCAGTTCTTAAGTCTCTAGGGAGTGGGATAAGGGTGTATGATCCTTGCAGAGCCCTAGAGGGCAGGTGTGTGCAGGGGTCTGGACACAGAAAATGGTCAATACCCTGTTTCCTGGCCACGGATGGCCTGGCCCTTCCCCCCTGCAAGGTGAGAGCTAAAGGGTTGGAGAACAAAGGAATCGGTGACCTCCTGGCCCGGGAAAGGAACAAAGCCCAGAGGAGGGGGGGCTGGAGGGAGTTTCATTTTGGGGCTGGCTGGAGACATGGAGTGAAGGGCAGACGTGGTTGTCTGGCTCACTGCCCCCCAAAATGGACCCGGCTGAGGGGTCCCGGTCTCTGCACCTACAAGCTCTGTGTTAGACCATGTTCCTGTTGTCTAATAAACCTTCTGTGTTACTGGCTGGCTGAGAGTCCCGTCTGACTGCGGAGTTGGGGGGCAGGACCCTCTGGCTTCCCCAGGACCCCGCCTGGGCGGACTCGCTGTGGGAAGCGCACGGAGGGGCAGAGGATGCTGAAGGCTCCGAGGTCAGACCCAGGAAGGGGGAAGCCGGGTGAGGTGTCCTGGAGACAGTCCACCCCCCCCCCACTCTAACCCACCAGCCCCCACTCCCTTCCCAGAGCCAGGGAGAGAACCCAGGAGTCCTGGCTTTTGATCCAGTACCTTATCTATCAGCCCCCACTCCCCCGACATTGAGGGACGAGGGGACATGGCTCTGTCCGAAGTCCCTTCGGTTCCCAAGGTTGCCCGCTGGGCATGTCCGTGGTGTGCCAGCCAGGTATCACCCTGGGCTACTCAGGGCAGGGGCAGGAATCAAGGAACGAAACCAGTGCGGTTTTCTCCTGTGGAAACCCTCTTCATCTAAAGTAGCTTCTCTCTCTCCCTTCCCCGCCCCCCCCCCCCCGTTTCCTCCCCACCCCGCAGAGCCAGGGGGCAAGGCCAGACAGCCACAGACCTTCACCAGCAGGGTCCAGCCCCGTAGAACCTCAGTGTGGGGAGGACAGATCCGGGGGGTGGGGGGGCTGTGGGGCAGCAGGGACCAGCCCCACAGAACCACAGGGTGCAGAGGAGGGATTGGGTTGTGGGGGGCCCTGGGACAGCAGGGACCAGCCCCATAGAACCGAAGGGTGGAGAGGACAGATCCGGGTGCGGGGGGGCTAAGGGGGAGCAGGATCCAGCCCCATAGCGCAGGGGGGCAACTACAGAACAGCCCTTTAGCAGCAGCATCCCTGCAGTGGGGTGCCCCATTTGCCCTCCCCTAGGGAAGGCACCAGCATCGCTGCACTCCTGACCCATGGGACTGCCCTGTCTGGGGGAGCGATGCCCCCAGCCCCACCCCTGCCCAGTCCAGGGGGACACTAACCCCTCCAGTCCCAGCCGGCTGCATTGCCCCAGAAGGGGGGTATGCAAGGAAGGGGGAATTTTCTGTAACATTTCTATGCCTGCCTCAGTTTCCCTCTGCACTTTGCCTGACTACCCAGCGTTCCGAGGGTTAACACCGCCTGTGACCAGTGCAGGGGGGGGGCGCACACACCATTGCTTGGGGTGGTGCGAAGGGGGGCCCAAACAGACACGGCTGCAGCCGCCCCCCAGCCCAGAGCTCCCCGAAGGCACCCCCAGCACCGAGCAGGCAGCTGGGGAAGGGCGGGGACCCAATGTTGCCAATTGCGGTCGGGTGCATTCCTGGAGATTTCCTGCCACGACACGTTTCCTGGTGACTCCGGGGCGCACCGGGAGAGCTGAAAAGCTGGGGGCTGGGACACGGGTGGCCTTCGGGGAGAGGGGCGGCCCCTGAGCACCCCCAGGACTAGCGCCAAGCCGGTGGCTCTGGCTCGGCCCGGCTGGCCTGGCCCTGCCCCTCTGGGAAGCCCAGGGACCGGTCTGGGCCGGGGGCGCTGCAGATCGACCCCACCCCACCCTCCATTGCCCCCACCTCACCCCTCCCCCACCCCCCAACCCCTCCTTCATCCACCCCTCCACACCCCCACCTCCAACCATCCATCCCCCATTCCCTGCACACCCCTCCTCCATCCATCCCCCCACCTCCACCCCCCTCCTCCATCCCCCAACCCCTCCTTCTCCCACCCCTCCATCCCCCCATCCCCCTGTGCCCCCCCACCCTTCCATTCCCCCCCCCCACTGCCTCCAGCTACCCCTTCCACTCCTCCCCTCCTCCATTCATGCCCCCACACTCACGCGCTATAGGGTGCCATGGGGGGCTGCGATGCCAGAGACGGGGGGCCGGAGGGTGTCCAGGCAGCCATGGGGGGCTGCAGTGGATGGGGGGGTGCCAGCCAATGCTGTAGCACCCTGCGTCCCCCACCCCACAGCTCGCCCTCCCCCAGGTGGTCCCCTGGGTACTCACCCCCCGTGGAGGCCAGGGCCAGGGCTGCCCAGAGGCAGAGCACCACCGGCATCATCCCCCCGCTCCAGTCAGGGGTCCGCGTGGGCGGGGGGGCCGGGGCCAGGCTCTGGAGAGGAGGATGCACCCGGGTGGCCTCCAGGATCCTGCTCGGAGCTGAAGTGCCGCTTGGGGTGGCTGGTGGATTTCATAGAGGGAGGAGAACAGGTAGGAGGGGCCCCCAGGCGTTGGAAACCACAGCGATCCGGCTGATAAGGGAGCCCGGGCCCCACCCCGGGCCCCATACTGCCAGCAGGGCCTGGCAGCTGGCACCCCAGAGCCCTGCAGGGCTGGGTGGGGTGCTGCCGCCTGCCCGGGGCTGCAGGCCGGGCGGTGCCAAGCGTGGGGCAGGGAGCTGCCAGCGACGCACTGTTTCCATAGCTGGGCAAATATTTGGAGGAAATCAGTTGCTGGAACCCAGGGCGAGGGTGTGTGAAAGAGCGGGGGACCGGGCGCCCGAGCCGGGGGGGGGGGATTTCTTGCTCTGCACCGGAACTTCTCCAGGCACCCCCATCCCCGTGGCCTCTGGGCACCTCCTGCTGCATCCTCAACCACACACCCTGCCCCCCGCGCCGGGCCAGGAATATCAGGGGAGAGGGTCCCACCCGGGCCCCGAGGCCCGGCGACCCTGCTGCGTTTAGAGCTGACGGGGGGCTGACGGCTGGTGGGGGGGTATATGCAGTGTCGAGGTTCCCTCCAGGCAGCAGGGACTTGACCCCGGGTCTTTCGCCCGAGCCAGCGGCCCAGTCTTCCCCTCGCTGCAGAAATTAAGCTGAGCTGCCCCGGTTTGCGACGCCCGGCCTGTGAACGGGGACACGACTCCCACCCGCTTCCCCAAACGCCTCGCTACCCCGGAGGATGGGGGTGTGCGGGGAAGGTGCGTGAGCGACAGCGTGCAGCCCACGTGCGAGCAGGTGGGAGGTGCGTGAGCGACAGCGTGCAGCCCACGTGCGAGCAGGTGGGAGGTGCGTGAGCGACAGCGTGCAGCCCACGTGCGAGCAGGTGGGAGGTGCGTGAGCGACAGCGTGCAGCCCACGTGCGAGCAGGTGGGAGGTGCGTGAGCGACAGCGTGCAGCCCACGTGCGAGCAGGTGGGACGTGCGTGAGCGACAGCGTGCAGCCCACGTGCGAGCAGCTGGGAGGTGCGTGAGCGACAGCGTGCAGCCCGCGTGCAAGCTGGTGGGACGTGCGTGAGCGACAGCGTGCAGCCCGCGTGCGAGCAGGTGGGAGGTGCGCGAGCGACAGCGTGCAGCCCGCGTGCGAGCAGGTGGGAGGTGCGCGAGCGACAGCGTGCAGCCCGCGTGCGAGCAGGTGGGACGTGCGTGAGCGACAGCGTGCAGCCCGCGTGCGAGCAGGTGGGACGTGCGTGAGCGACAGCGTGCAGCCCGCGTGCGAGCAGGTGGGAGGTGCGTGAGCGACAGCGTGCAGCCCGCGTGCGAGCAGGTGGGAGGTGCGTGAGCGACAGCGTGCAGCCCGCGTGCGAGCAGGTGGGAGGTGCGTGAGCGACAGCGTGCAGCCCGCGTGCGAGCAGGTGGGAGGTGCGTGAGCGACAGCGTGCAGCCCGCGTGCGAGCAGGTGGGACGTGCGTGAGCGACAGCGTGCAGCCCGCGTGCGAGCAGGTGGGACGTGCGTGAGCGACAGCGTGCAGCCCGCGTGCGAGCAGGTGGGACGTGGGCGTGAGCGACAGCGTGCAGCCCGCGTGCGAGCAGGTGGGAGGTGCGTGAGCGACAGCGTGCAGCCCGCGTGCGAGCAGGTGGGACGTGCGTGAGCGACAGCGTGCAGCCCGCGTGCGAGCAGGTGGGACTTGTGGCCAGGCATGCGCATGACACCACAGTGCATGGGACCCCCTTGTGCCCACGTGACAGGCTGTTCGCACGGCCCCCCCTCTCCGCTCGGTTCCTGATAACGCTGCATTGACGTCAGGGCAAGATATAACTAATTTGCCTTTTATAAAAAGGAGTTCCCCTCCTTAAGGAGATGAGTGGTTAATCAGCGCTTCAAAGAGCCTTCGTTACAAACACTCATGCCCTTGGAGTTCGTTTATCGTTACGGCAAACAAAACACCAGCTATAAATAGAATTTCAAGGGCAGAACCTACCTGTGCATCCCCTGGGTTCTCTCCCCGGCTCTGGCGGGGAGTGGGGGCTGATGGGTTAGAGCAGGGCCAGGGGGCTGGGAGCCAGGACTCCTGGGTTCTCTCCCCGGCTCTGGCGGGGAGTGGGGGCTGATGGGTTAGAGCAGGGCCAGGGGGCTGGGAGCCAGGACTCCTGGGTTCTCTCCCCGGCTCTGGGAGGGGAGTGGGGGCTGATGGGTTAGAGCAGGGCCAGGGGGCTGGGAGCCAGGACTCCTGGGTTCTCTCCCCGGCTCTGGGAGGGGAGTGGGGGCTGATGGGTTAGAGCAGGGCCAGGGGGCTGGGAGCCAGGACTCCTGGGTTCTCTCCCCGGCTCTGGGAGGGGAGTGGGGGCTGATGGGTTAGAGCAGGGCCAGGGGGCTGGGAGCCAGGACTCCTGGGTTCTCTCCCCGGCTCTGGGAGGGGAGTGGGGGCTGATGGGTTAGAGCAGGGCCAGGGGGCTGGGAGCCAGGACTCCTGGGTTCTCTCCCGGCTCTGGGGGGAGTGGGGGCTGATGGGTTAGAGCAGGGCCAGGGGGCTGGGAGCCAGGACCCTGGTTCTCTCCCGGCTCTGGCGGGGAGTGGAGGCTGATGGGTTAGAGCAGGGCCAGGGGGCTGGGAGCCAGGACTCCTGTTCTCTCCCGGCTCTGGCGGGGAGTGGGGGCTGATGGGTTAGAGCAGGGCCAGGGGGCTGGGAGCCAGGACTCCTGTCTCTCCCCGGCTCGGGGGGAGTGGAGGCTGATGGGTTAGAGCAGGGCCAGGGGGCTGGGAGCCAGGACTCCTGGTTCTCTCCCCGGCTCTGGGGGGAGTGGAGGCTGATGGGTTAGAGCAGGGCCAGGGGGCTGGGAGCCAGGACCCTGGGTTCTCTCCCGGCTCTGGCGGGGAGTGGGGGCTGATGGGTTAGAGCAGGGCCAGGGGGCTGGGAGCCAGGACTCCTGGGTTCTCTCCCCGGCTCTGGCGGGAGTGGAGGCTGATGGGTTAGAGCAGGGCCAGGGGGCTGGGAGCCAGGACTCCTGGGTTCTCTCCCGGCTCTGGCGGGGAGTGGAGGCTGATGGGTTAGAGCAGGGCCAGGGGGCTGGGAGCCAGGACTCCTGGTTCTCTCCCGGCTCTGGCGGGAGTGGGGGCTGATGGGTTAGAGCAGGGCCAGGGGGCTGGGAGCCAGGACTCCTGGGTTCTCTCCCCGGCTCTGGGAGGGGAGTGGGGGCTGATGGGTTAGAGCAGGGCCAGGGGGCTGGGAGCCAGGACTCCTGGGTTCTCTCCCCGGCTCTGGGAGGGGAGTGGGGGCTGATGGGTTAGAGTCGGGGGGGGGGGGGCTGGAAGCCCAGACTTCTGGGTTCTCTCCCCGGCTCTGGGAGGGGAGTGGGGGCTGGTGGGTTAGAGCAGGGCCGGGGTGTGACAATGTGACTCAGCAGGGAGGGGGGAGTGTTGACCTGGGAATGTGCCCTGGGGATGGGAGACCTGAGAGCCTGTCACCTGAGCCAGGAGGGGGAGGGGGAGGTGACACCTCTGCCCAGGAATGTGAACAGAGGCTGCAGCAGGGAACCTGCTGGGTGGGTTTAGTTTTCGGTTTGGGGCTGGGTGGAGGAACACAGGGAACCCCAGGGCTGGGGTCTAAGCTCCCTGCTCCCCCAGAAGGACTTGACTGAGGGGTCCTGCGGGTACCCACAAGCTCTGTTTTGGACTGCGTTCCTGTTGTCCAATAAACCTTCTGTTTTACTGGCTGGCTGAGAGTCTCAGTGAATCCCAGGAAGAGGGGTGCTGGGCCTGGACTCCCCCACACTCCGTGACACGGGGAGCCAGGACTCCTGGGTTCTCTCCCCAGCTCTCGGAGGGGAGTGGGGGCTGGTGGTTAGAGCAGGCGGGGCTGGGAGCCATAAGAGAAGCCATACTGGGTCAGAGCAAACGTCCATCTAGCCCAGTGTCCTGTCTGCCAACAGTGACCAATGCCAGGTGCCCCAGAGGGAATGAATCATCCAGTGATCCGTCTCCTGTCACCCATCCCCAGCTTCTGGCAAACAGGGGCTACGGACACCAGCCCTGCCCAGCCTGGCTAATAGCCATTGCTGGACCATTGTCATGGAGTCCCCAGGCGATGCTTTGGAGCTGCTCCTTACGAAGCCCGGCAGGACTCTGGAGGAGTCTCCTCTCTGGGAAGGACACACAGCTCACCCAGCTTCCACCTTCCTGGGTCTGACCTCGGAGCATTCAGCCTCCTCTGCCCCTCCCTGCGCTTCCCCCAGTGAGTCCACCCAGGCGGGGTCCTGGGGAAGCCAGAGGGTCCTGCCCCCCAACTCTGCAGTCAGACGGGACTCTCAGCCAGCCAGTAACACAGGAGGTTTATTAGACGACAGGAACATGGTCTAACACAGAGCTTGCAGGTGCAGAGAACAGGACCCCTCAGCTGGGTCCATTTTGGGGGGCAGTGAGCCAGACAACCACGTCTGCCCTTCACTCCATGTCTCCAGCCAGCCCCAAAATGAAACTCCCCCCAGCCCCTCCTCCTCTGGGCTTTGTCCCTTTCCCGGGCCAGGAGGTCACCGGATCCCTTTGTTCTCCAACCCTTCAGCTCTCACCTTGCAGCGGGGAAGGGCCCAGGCCATCAGTTGCCAGGAAACAGGGTGTCGGCCATTCTCTGTGTCCAGACCCCTGCACACACCTGCCCTCTAGGGCTCTGCAGTGATCATACACCCTTACTCCACCCCCTAGAGACTTAAGAACTGCCTAGGGGAAACTGAGGCACCCCACACTATTCAGAGGAAACATAAGAACAGTCCCACTTCGTCACAACCCTCCTCCAGGAACGTATCTAGTTCTTCTTTGAACCCTGTTATAGTCTTGGCCTTCACCACGTCCTGTGGGAAAGAGTTCCACAAATTCTGCGTTGGGTGGAGAAATACTTCCTCCTGTTTGTTTTCAACCCGCTGCCTATTAATTTCATTGGGTGTCCCTAGCCCTACTTATGAGAGGGAGTAAATACCACTCCCTTATTTACTTTCCCCAGAAGTCATGATTTTATAGACCTCGGTCATAACCCCCCTTAGCTGTCTCTCTCCCGAGCTGAAAACTCCCCGTTTTTTTAAGCTCTCCTCGTACGGCCGCTGTTCCACACCCCTAACCAATTTTGTTGCCCTTTTCTGAGCCTTTTCCAATCCCGTGGGACCTTTTGGAGACGGGGCCACCACATCAGCGCGCAGGACTCAAGCCGTGGGCGTCCCACGGATTTAGAGAGCGGCAACATGAGATGTTCTGTCCTATTATGTCCCCCTTTCCTAATAGGACTCCTGAGTTCTCTTCCTTGCTCTGGGTGGGGTCCAGTGGTTAGACCAGGGGGGCTAGGACCCAGGACTCCTGGGTTCTCTCCCCGGCCCTGGGAGGGGAGTGGGGGCTGGGAGCCAGGACGCCTGGGAGCCAGGACGCCTGGGTTCTCTCCCCAACCGCCACCTCCCTGTCTGACAAGTCCCTTCTCCTGTGGGTTAGCTTTCCCCTCCCTGCAGCGAGCCTCACTCAGTGTCTGGCCACTGTCGCCCACTGTCCCAGCACTTGCGGGTGCCAGGGAGGTCACCCGGGGTGCTTTCCAGGGAATTTACCAGCCTGTTCGGCACCCTTTCACTTTATCCTTTCCTCCTCTCCCCCCCCCCGGCCAGCCCAGTCCCGCACGCTTCCATGTCACACCTCTGCCAGCCCAGCCACGGGACCGACAGCGACATCTGACTGAGATCTGGGCCCCGCCGTGCCAGGCCCCCAGCCTGTGACCCCCATTGTGCTGGGGCTGCAGAGACCCCATGATTGGGGCCCCCATCACAGCCTCCCTCTTACACAGAGACCCCCCCCGTCAACCACATGCCCCTCCTCCCTAGGGGACCTCATTTCTGGGGCCCATCCAGCCTCTCTGCTGGGGTGCAGGACTGACCTGGCTAGCTCATCTCAGGGGGAATGGGGGGGCAGGCAGCAGGAGAAGGGGGGAAAGGTGGAGGAGTGGAGCTAACCGCTGGGGGGGGCCTGGACCGAGGGACTGGGCTACAGCAGACGCCCCGACCTCGTTTGCCAGGTCCCAGGCTGGGAGCGCCCCAGCGCCTTTTGGGGTTACCTGGAAGCCTCTCAGGGTCTGGGTCAGAGCTGGGCCTCCCCTGGGATCTCCTTGCATAGCCCCCAGCCTCTCCAGGCCACCGGTTCAACAGCCCTGGGCCTCCCCCAAAGCCCAGCCTGCCCCACTGCCTGGGGCAGCACCTGCCCAGCAGCCCTTTATAACAAACACCTGCCCCAGCCCAGCTGGCTCTGGTGAGTGACTGGGGCTGGCCGGCCCAGGCCTGAGCCCCTTAAAGGGGAACACCGGTCCGCTGCAGGGGGGAGCGGCTTTGGGTCCCTCCCCAAGCTAGGTCCTGGTACAGGAGGCGGGATTCCTGGGGGCTCGGCAACCCTGTCCATTGGGGGCTACGCCTCCCTCCAGCCCGAGCCCTTAGCAAATTGGGGTCCCTGGAGGGCACCGAGGAGGGGGGGTGGCTGGGGGCCCAGCCTCGGGGGAAGGAGGCTGTGCCGGAACAGAGCCAGGGTGCCATTCTCCCCGGGCCACGCTGCCGGGGCCATGCACGGACCCGCCTGACATCAAATGGGCTGCCATGGCGACCCACGGAACCAGGCAGCGCCCAGAACCACGTGGCACTGCTGGTAGCAGTGTGGAACCACCGGGCCCCAGGTGGCTCAGGGACGGGTGGGAGCAGGGGGTGCCCATCCCCCAGGTGCAGGGAGGAAGGGGGTGACGGGTTCCCAGCGGCAGAGCCCAGGGCATGGGGGGGGAGAACTCTCCACCCGCCGGGACATCTGGGCTGGCGCCCGGGGCCCATCCCAGTGCACGTTCCATGGGACTCTAAATAACAACTGAGATTTCACAGAACAAATAAAGCAAAGGTCACCCTGGGTACCTGAGAAATGCCAGGGCGGGGGGACGTGAGCATCTGAGACCGGCCTCGCCTGGCAGGTGACGTAACAGGGACAGGGTGGAGGGCTGGGAGCCAGGACTCCTGGCTTCTCTCCCCAGCTCTGGGAGGGGAGCGGGGGCTGGTGGGTGAGAGCAGGGGGGCTGGGAGCCAGGACGTCTGGGTTCTCTCCCCGGCTCTGGGAGGGAAGTGGGGTCTAGTGGTTAGAGCAGGGGGGGGACTGGTTCCATGCCTGGCCAGGTTGTTGAGTCACTGTTACTTGTCCTTTCTCTCCCCTGGGCCTTGCCCGGCTTTGCTGTTGGTAACGGGTATAAGATTTGTGTGCACAGTGCATGAGGCCAGCACTGCCCCTCCATTCCTGGGGCAGCCTGAGGGTGAAATCACCAGTGCACGCAAAGCGCTCTACCCTGTAGTTCGGGGCCACGGTGCAGCGTCGGGGTGGGTCATTCGATGGAGCACGGGGTTACGCAGGGGGTTGTCTGGGTGCGGGGTGCACTGGCAGGGAAGCTGGCCCAGCTTTACAGGCAGGGCGTGAGGTTTCCATTAGCCATCAAGGTTCATTTCCTAGGTAGGGGCAGGCATTAAGGTCCAAGTGAGGGGTTAAGGGCTGTAATTTGGGTTGTGGGAGTCAGGGTCAGCGGTGGGGGTCACTCATGGGGCACAGCCGGCCTGGGTCAGACCCAGAGGACCCCTGGATCCGGCCTGATGGCCCCTGCCCCCTGGTGCTTTGCTTGGAGTGGACAGACCAGGGCGATTCGCCAAGGGATCCAGCCCCCGTCGTCCCACCCCAGCTCCGGAGGTTTCAGGACACCCAGAGCGTGGGGCTGCGCCAACGACCCTTTGGGCAGATACTGATCAATAGGGGAGGACAGGATGAGAGCAGGGGACAGGCTCAGGTTAGCAACAGGGGCTGGGGGTAGGATTTACGACCGAGGGGGATCATCCAGCGCAGGCTACGTGCCCTCCCGCCCCAGTCCCGAGCCGCAGCCCCACAGCCTCATCGGAGCCCCGGGGAGAGGAGCCCAGCAGAGCCAAGGCCTCGCCCAGCCCGCCTGGCTAATGCCAAGGTGCCAATATTTGCTCACGGATAAACACTGGAGAGAAAGTCAAACAGGGCCGGGATGGGACGGGGGGGCCCGCTCTGACAGCGACGGGATGGGGCGAGCGGCTGCCCGCACCCATTTCAGGGGCTGGCAGAGCCTCTTCCAGAAACTGGAGCTGGCCCCCATCACTAGGCGATGGACAACACCAGAGAGGGCGCTAGGCAACAGGCAGCCTCAGTCGGAGCCAGGGTGTGGGGACGGGGAAGCCCCACAGCCACCCACCTGTCCAGGGGGCGGGGCCTAGGGGGAGCTGTATACCTGTGCCAGGGGCTCACCTGTCCAGGGGGCGGGGCCTGGGGGAGCTGTATACCTGTGCCAGGGGCTCACCTGTCCAGGGGGCGGGGCCTAGGGGGAGCTGTATACCTGTGCCAGGGGCTCACCTGTCCAGGGGGGGGCCTGGGGAGCTGTATACCTGTGCCAGGGCCCACCTGTCCAGGGGCGGGGCCTGGGGGAGCTGTATACCTGTGCCAGGGGCCCACCTGTCCAGGGGGCGGGGCCTAGGGGGAGCTGTATACCTGTGCCAGGGGCTCACCTGTCCAGGGGGCGGGGCCTAGGAGGAGCTGTATTCCTGTGCCAGGGGCTCACCTGTACAGGGGGCGGGGCCCAGGGACAGCTTTACCCTTCACCCTGTGACCCCAGCTCCTCCCCACTTCATCTCTCCTGCACCCCAAGGGCCCAGCCCCCATGAAGCCACTGCCCTCCCAGTCCCCTAGGCCTGACACCATCCCCCAGGTCCCCTCTACCCCCTGGGCCCTGCACCCCACAGGTAAACTCTCCCCACTCCAGCCCCCCTCCCCACCAGGGGTCCCTCCCCATGCACACCCCTTCCAGCCCCGCCCCAGGCCCTGTACCCCCACGGGTAACCCCTCCCTGCTGCAGCTCTCCCCCCACATAGGCCATGTCTCTTTAGGGTCCCAGACCCACTCGGGCTGGAACCCCCCCACACACATACATAAGATCGGCCCTACTTGGTCAGAGCAAAGGTCCATCCAGCTCAGTGTCCTGTCCTCTGACAGTGGCCAGGGCCAGGGGCCCCAGAGGGAATGGACCGAACAGGGAATCATCCAGTGACCCTTCCCCTCTCGCCCATCCCCAGCTCCTGGCAAACAGAGGCCAGGGCCACCATCCCTGCCCATCCTGGCTCATAGCCATTGCTGGACCCATCCTCCAGGAACATATCTTGTTCTTCTTTGAACCCTGTTATAGTTTTGGCCTTCACCACGTCCTCTGGCAAGGAGTTCCACAGGTTAACAGTTGGGTGAAGAAAGACTTCCTTTCGTTCGTTTTACACCCGCTGCCTGTTCGTTTCATTGGGTGGCCCCTTGCTCTTGTGTTGTGAGGAGGAGTCAGTCGCACTTCCTTCTTTGCCTTCTCCACCCCCGTCATGATTTCATAGGCCTCGGTCACACCTGCCCTGCACCGTCCCTTTCCCAAGCAGAGCAGTCCCGGTCACGCTAATCTCTCCTTGCAGGGCAGCCGGTCCACGCCCCTGCTCTGTTTTGTCCCAAGCCCGACAGACCCTTCTGCGACGGGGCCACCAGGCCAGCGCGCCGGGCTCAAGCCGCGGGCGTCCCTCGGATTTAGAGAGCAGCAACAGGGGATTTTCCCTCCTACTTGCTATCCCTTCCTCGAGGCCTCTGCCGGGACGGGGCGAGCTCTGGAGCTGGATCAGACTTCTTGGGGTGGTTTGGGGTTGGACCCCTGGCACGTTTGGGGCGGAGGGGGCGTGGGGAGGAGAACAAGGGCACCAGGGCAGCAGTGCGGCTTCTGCAGGGCAGTGCTGCCCCCTGCTGGCTGTGGCCGGGAGTGTGTCTGGGCTGGGGGGTGGGGACAGAGACAGTGAGAGGCCTGGCTCTGTGTGTGTGTGTGAGAGAGAGAGAGAGAGAGAGACAGGCGTGTGTGTGTGTGTGTGTGTGAGACAGGCCTGGCTCTGGGTGTGTGTGTGTGAGAGAGAGAGAGAGAAGGCTGGCTCTGTGTGTGTGTGTGTGTGTGTGTGGAGAGAGAGAGAGAGAAGGCTGGCTCTGGGTGTGTGTGTGTGTGAGAGAGAGAGAGAAGGCTGGCTCTGTGTGTGTGTGTGTGTGAGAGAGAGAGAGAAGGCTGGCTCTGTGTGTGTGTGTGTGAGACAGGCCTGGCTCTGGGTGTGTGTGTGAGAGAGAGAGAGAGAGAGAGACAGGCGTGTGTGTGTGTGAGACAGGCCTGGCTCTGTGTGTGTGTGTGAGAGAGAGAGAGAGAGAAGGCTGGCTCTGGGTGTGTGTGTGTGTGAGACAGGCCTGGCTCTGTGTGTGTGTGTGTGAGACAGGCCTGGCTCTGGGTGTGTGTGTGAGAGAGAGAGAGAGAGAGAGAGAGAGAGACAAGGCT